CTAAACTAAACTAAGCTAAACTAAACTAAGCTAAGCTAAACTAAGCTAAACTAAACTAAACTAAACTAAGCTAAACTAAAATTTCTAAAACACGTAATAAAGCTTCATAAGTTTAAAGGTTATCATTATTCAGAATTCATAAATCATTTATAAGACGTAATGATCGTTTATTGCTGTCATTAATTATTACTAATGACATCTCTTTGTTCCTTAGCAAATACTTCATAGACGATTAACTTTTTTTGATAAAGAGTTCAAAAATAATCTTAAATCTTCTTCAAAAATATCTTATTAAATTATTAGAAGTTAATAGTCATGCAATGTGGCGAGTTTTTCGATGTGTTCTGAATCAAGTCAGGTGTTGGAAGCTTTTCCGCGTGGTATTTAGTGTAAACGAATTCTTATTGGTATAAACATTACGTTAGTTTTTTTTAAGGATAATCACGTACGTAAAGCAAATCAATCATTTAATTTCGCAATCAAGCCTTTTTTGGACTCGTCTACCGTGTGTTTATGCATCACGGTTGTTTCGATAATATCCGCCTAGTTACTTCCACACATATACGTACGAATATCTTATGTCTATTTTCGCCATCAATTTCTATCTTTGCTCGCTTGTAACACAAGGAAATATTGTACAAAAGCTTATACAAATAGGCATCACATTTTACTAAGAAATAATGTCTGAATGAGTCTTTTATGATATCTTTATGAAGTCGAAGTCAGTTTTAATTTTTTAACGCAATATTTGAGAATTAAAATCACTTGAAATTATTCTTCCCATAAAGAACTACCCTAGCTTCTCTATTACATCTGAGTTTGACTGATGAGATTTTAGATAGTGCTTGCTATTACAAAACATTAGATGATAAACTTATCAGTTCCTCTTGGCATTTCCCCTTCGTTTTTGCGGTATACAGTGCGTTTCTGAGATATTCAGTGAAAACATTTAAAACATAGTAGTATTAATTGATTTGACCAATGAACCACTTTCTTCAATGAAAATCACCATTGTAATATAGTTAAGTCTTTTTGGAAATATTTTTGAATGTTTTCTAATTTAAAGAGAACTTTTTTGAGAAAAAAGTCGATTTGATATTAAAATAAGTTACCTTTAGATAACTTGTGCCTCCAGAATCGACTCCCCCAACGAAAAGATCCAAGTTTTGCATTCCAGAGTTGGTTTTTGTCAGTCCTAGTGATACATACCCAGTAGTTTTAGCACGAACTTCGAACTCGATCTCTTGAGAAGCAGATAAATAATTCCAAGTAACGTTGAAGATTCCGTTACCTAATGTTAGGTGGTTAAGAGCGTCCGCAGTTGCGAAAAAGAGAACAAAGATTCGAAATACCAAGGCAAAAAAGTTAAAAGATTTCATCTTGGCGGTGCGTTCTAGGAAAGAAATCGACCCTGTTCTTGCTCGAGCTCGATCGTGACGCAAGTATATTTCATGTCAGTGATTAATAAGAGCACTATTCTATCTACGTTAGTTTTTCTGATTAATTATTCTTTTTCTTTGCTTAAACAGACGTAAATCAATCTATCAGGTTAGCTTTTGTAAGAATGTCTTTGAAGCGTAACGTTACAATATATCAGTACTCAACGCAATATACAGCCACCTTTCCGTTCGAACTTAAAAACCCAACTTTTCGATGCGTTCACACTAAATTTCCAATATGGTGTAAAGGCAAAGGCTACTCGACCCTTTTTTCTCTCTCAACGTTTTGTTTTAAAATTTCTTTGAACGTGAGGATTATGTTTGAATTAAACTCAAAATGAAGCTTTTTATTCGTTTTTTGTCAGCTTTGTTTTACAATCTGCATCGTGAGCTGTTAGTGCTATTGGGTACACTTTGTATGTTTAATAAATCAATTATTTATTTGTGCTAATATAAGGTTTTTAAGCTGAATATTATTTAATTAAATACTTTATAAAACAGCGTTTTCGTTTGTGATGCAATAGTTATTTATAGCTTAAACATATTTAATAGTGTTCTACTCGAAACGGTCCCACAGGCTGTACTCAGCTCCTGCTTGAGAATTGGGGAGTCAAAGATAGAGGACATCTACAAAGAACTCAAAACAGTGCAAAAGGAGAGGGGAGGGAGTAGGAATAAAGAAAACCATGGAGAGCAACCGCAGGTCATTTGTGGATCCAGGGGGGTTCATGTGGGATATCTTTTGTGAACCCAATTATGTTCTTTACGCTCAGTAGATTGAAATTGGAATCCTCCTTTTGTGGGGCCAATCTTACCAGCCAATCTTTGACGTCCACCAAATTCTATTAATTTGTGGCAACAGAAAATTGTACGATTTTGAGAAGCGCTGTAAAGAAATGTATGGAGTGATGTTCGATGTTGAGTGTATGACGTCACAGACTCCAAAAAATAATCGTAAAAATATCATACTTTCGTCCTGAATATCGAAAAAACACTTCATACGGTGATTATTGGACCTTTAAAGAGTATTTTTAGGAAGTTTCAGCTGAATCCAAGTTTGAGCGATTTTCGTCATAGTAGCACTTTAATTAGTGTTGTTATACGAATGTATTGTGCTCACTGAAGCCAGTGTTCAGTGGAGAATCAATCTAAAAACCAAAGAAAAGCTGACTACCACCACCACAGCTTTTTGTTGTGGTTGTGGATGTGGAAGGGGTAGAAGGTTTCGAAGTCGTCACCCTACCATTGCCAGACGCAACCGTGGTGTCATGGACAACACTGAAAAAGAGATAAACAGAACTGGCAACTCGTTTGATATATTTGAAAAATGTACCTGGTTTGGATTGGATAAACTATAGGAATAAGGATGTACCCAAATGCATTGGATGGGCGTATACACAGGGCCGTAACCATAACTTTTACAGGGAGGGTGTACATCGAATAAAATCGGACCATTGAGCGTTTTTTTTTAAGAAAGGAGGACCAAAAAAAAAAAAAAAAAAAAGGAGATGGACGGGCGGACCTTAAGCACCCTGTGCTCCCCCCCTAGTTACGGCCCTGTTACACTCAATTGAAGAATCGTTATCGGGTTCAGAAACATAGAACATAGAAGCTGAGACCGAAATGGCACATGAGGAGTAAATAAGCGGTTTCGTCTACGCTGCAACCTATAAAAATGCGAAGCCCGAAAGTCTCTCAAATGCAGGTCTTCTGAATACGCGTTTGGCATTCTAAACCGACTGCATGGATGACGCAAATGAATAAATTATAATATAATTATGTCATTTTCCATGTGCCATTTTGGTCTCAGCTTTTATCTTCTATGTTTCTGAACCCGACAACGATTCATATAGGGATATATAGGGATCAAACAATGTATCCAAAATAGATTGCATAAACGTATAGGATTTGCATCCAGGGGGCAAATAGCCCTTTGTAATTACAGAAATGAAGTCGATCGATATCCGAACAAAGAACGACAACAGAAAACAACACAAGATGAATTAAGTCGGCAAATTGATATCACCTTTACCCATAAAAGGAAGAAAAACGCTCTAAGCTCTATATATTTCCCGTCATCTTTTGTTTTTGTTTTGCCCCCTGGCAGGATGGCCGCCGTATCGTCGAAGTACTCCATTGTTGAGCTATAACTGTCAATTTCAATTCCAATGCTTAATATATAGAGTTTTGCCATCTGGTAGATTCACTAAACCCGGACCTACAAACATCTCCAAGAAAGGCGTTCTCTCTGCATTCTATTTATTGATTATTTTTCATATATTTACGAACCTTGTAGGCTGTAGTCACCACTGGTACGAGCACGTGCATCTGTGAGCTATAACCACGATGATTTGAATGATATTGAAGGTCGTCAGAACTTGTGTGATATGCCCAGGCAATATACACTGGGTCTCCAGGCTATAGGGCATCAAAATGACAAATGTATGATAATATAATATATTATTAAAATTATTGTTATTATTCTAATATATTATTTAACAATTATTCGCCTTAGGCGAAGTGAATATCGGGGAATATTTACCGAGACGCGAGTCTTCGAGCGGCGAGATAAATATTCGTTCTCCGATATTCACTGAGGCTGAGGCAAATAATTGTTTTAGTATAAATACACAGGTGATTCTTTCAAAAAAATAAAAATAAAATAAAAGACACATTTAAAATTAGGAAAAAGACCTTTAGCAAGGTTTACTAGCCTGGATAAGTAGGTCTTTGACATCCTGAGTGTTGAGTCTTCTCTTGCAGTGAACCATTGTTACACCATTTGACTCGCTGGCGCTGATGAGCGTATAGTCCTGTTGTGAATCCTCTGGTGGTTCGCCCGTTCCAATGGCATAGTAATCCTATGTATTGAGAAGTATAACAGCTTTTCATATTTTCGAGCGATTTCATCCAAAACTAAATCCGTAAGATTCTGGAGACAATTGAGACATACTGGCTTAGCTGTGCCCTGACTTATTAGATCAGCCCAGAGGTTGTTTCAGGGTTCCTTCTGTGAGTTAGCCGTGCCCTGACTTAGATAAGCTCAGAGGTTGTTTCAGGGTTCAATCTGTGATTTGGTCGTGCCCTGACTTAGATCAGCCCAGAGGTTGTTTCAGGGTCTGATCTGTGAGTTAGCCGTGCCCTGACTTAGATCAGCCTAGAGGTTGTTCTATGGTTCGATCTGTGAGTTAGTTGTGCCCCGACTTAGATCAGCCAAGAGGTTGTTTCAGGGTTCGATCTGTTAGTTAGCCATGCACTGACTTAGATCAGCCCAGAGGTTGTTTCAGGGTTACCATGAATTCACATACCCGAAACGGAGTACAATTAACGGAATACAATTAACAATTTATTGTACTCCTCTTGACCAATCAGAATTTAGTAATTTTGCTGGATGTGGTATAAGTACCCTGATTTAACAAACGAGATTGCATCGATATCCGCACAATACGAATTCTTCATTTGTTTTTCACATTTCGATGATCGTCAGTATTTGCGCGCCATCATGCATGGTATTACGTTCCAGATATTGTTCTTATTTTTACTACTCACTAAGTTCTTTCAAAATTTTAATTTGATATTAAAAGAAGTTACCTTTAGATAACTTGTGTCTCCAGAATCGACTCCCCCAACGAAAAGATCCAAGTTTTGCATTCCAGAGTTGGTTTTTGTCAGTCTGACACATACCCAGTAGTTTTAGCACGAACTTCGAACTCGATCTCTTGAGATCCAGATAGATAATTCCAAGTAACGTTGAATTTTCCGTTTTGAAATTGCAACTCGTTTACAGCAACTGAGTATGTTACGAAGATTATCGAAACAATGAAAAGAGTTTTGGCAAAAAACTCGAACCGTTTCATCTTATAACCTTGAAGCAAACCAAGTTGGAGTTCAAGAATAGTGGTATTGATTGACTCAATCGAAAATTTTAAGCTGGAACTT